TCTCTCTCTCTCTCTCTCTCTCTCTCTCTCTCTCCTCTCTCCCTCTCTTTGACTGATGATAAATGGGGCAACTTTTTGAGCAATGTTGCCATCAACGGACAACCAGGTGAGACACAGGGCCCACGAACAGTCTAAAGTATCCAGATAGAAATTTGTTACCCATTCTCAATGGGAAAGTGCCCAAGCAACATTGCTCACAAAAAGTTGCCTCGTGTAGCCTTTGTCAGCCTTTGTCTCTCTCTCTCTAGCATACTATGCTCTCTGACTTTGCACACACACAGTGTAGAAAGATAATGATTACTGTGAATAGCATCATGCAGATGTCTTGAGGAGATCCCGAGATTTGGAGGTACACATCTTCAGGCACAGGAAAAAAACCCCCTGTAAAACCCAAAGAAGGTTGCTAGTAATCCAAGACAGTTCAGAATATATTAAATAAGAGAATAAACTCGATAATTCTTGAGGTCTACTGTAATACACATCATCTTTGATTCCAGAGAGAAGGAACACAGGAGTTGTTTTTCAGTTTTTCTATCCCCTTTCCAGATGTGTAGAGGTGGACACACACTGATGGACTGGTGTGGCAGTTCCATACATCACAACGTGTTTGAGTGCAGGGACCAGGGCCAATCCCATCCCAAAGGCCTTGAACAGCTGTCAATCACCCTTATAAGGGCAAGTGCATGTGCAAGCGTGTGCTTGTGTTAGTGTTTGTGTCCAGATTCAGATATTGTGTAATTGTGCTATCACACGTAAACACACTGTACTTGCACTCTGTGTGTGTGTGTCTGTGTGAATGTGTATGCTTGTGTGTGTGGGTAGGCGGAAAATCTTAACGGCTGCTATTCTTGATGGCTTCCTTGGCAGCTACAATCAGCGGAGTCAAGCTGGAAAGGGGCTTGGCAAGCTTCAGGAACGAGTGCTGTAAAGAGAAATAATACATTTAGGAAACTTCAATTTTTATATCCATTTTGATCTCTACATTCCTTTAAACAGTAAGGTTCTGCAATCAAAGAGAGCATTGCAACCATTACAATCTTCCTCGCATTTCCAGACTACCTTTTTAAATTATTTTGAGTCTGGGTAGACTGTTTGTTTGCATAATGGATTTTACATAACATCTGTTTAATGTCCTTACTTTTAATTTGTTATATTATCCATGTGTTATGTGTTATATTATGCATTTACATTTCTTCTATGTGATATAATTACAGGACCTATATTAACTGCATAAAAAGTATACAGTGGGTACGGAAAGTATTCAGACCCCCTTAAATTTTTCACTCTTAACTCCATTAAACTTTCATTTACTTTTATTCATTTAACAGATGCTTTTATCCAAAGATTTTCAAGATGGTGATGACACTGATGTAGGTACACTGATGTAGCATGCTGATGATCTGTATCAGAAAAATTTCTTCAAAGGAGGCAAAAAGATGGCTCTCTTGCCTCCACTGAGACCACTGAGTATTAACAACCCCCCTAAAGTGTGACATGGGTTTTGTGGGGAGTAACTGAGAATGAATGGGGGAAAGTCACGTGAGAGGAGGCAATGCCTCCATCGCACTATGATTGGCTTATAAGGCCGATCACGTAATAAATCCCACTTCTAACTTTCATGCATGTTCTGCAAATTTGAGAAACACTTGAGAAAAAATCAGATTGAATAAATAATGGTGTTAATGGCAAGACTAATTAAAAAGTAAACACACAACCTACCCACTTAGATATCACCGCCTTATGTCACATCACATTCAAATGTGAAATGACTTGAATATATTATCTATAAATTTTTTTAATTACTGATGACTGATAATCCGAAGATAAGTTTGAAAAGAACAGCTAAACATCAGTTAACAAATAAAATATACCTGAAATATGACATTTGTTATTGGGTTATCACTATTTGGAATAAATGTAAACATGCTTAAAAAGCACTTGATGAGAAATATACTTTGTTTTAATAATTATAAAATTAATTACATTTTATTTAAAAATACAAAATACAATTCTATTGATATTGTAAGTAATGTTTAAGTGTAAGTGGACCATGAATTTACATAAAATATTTAAAAAAGCACTATTAGGGCTGTCAATGTAACAGGTTAATTTGGCATTATGGTAATTATGGAAAAAATAACATTGCATGTAGTTGCTGATAAAACATAATGCAGGATGACGACTGACTGCGGCGATGCAGCATATTAGAATTCATTTAAAATTAAAGATTGATGCCCGTGTAGGTTTTTTTGTCTTTAGGTACAATATATAAGATTTTCATAATAAATATCCAAAAACTACTTGCACAGTGATATATATATTTTATGCAGTTGTGTATTTATGTTATTCTAAAAGTTCCCAAGGATTTGTAAATCCAGAGAAATTCCAATTTTAAATAATGACTTGTCCCTGCTCATTGTCGCCGATCAATTATGTAATATCCTCAGTTTCCGCTTGTAGAAACTATCAAAGAACTTATACAAGAAGTGAAAGCCAATAGAGAATGGGAATGTGTCGTCACAGTGGCAATGCATTCTGGGAATTTATGTCACGGGAGCCACAGCGGAGACTGGATAATATAGTGAATGTAGACGTTTGATATTATTTAATGTTTATATTATTCTACTTAAGATCGCGTTGGAGTGGTTAAGGCTCACTTTACATAATTTGCCATAGCCCTTTGCATGGCCGGTGTGAAAAACGTGCTTTTTTCAGCGTTAGAAAGCTGAAAAAGCAGAGGTAATTCCTGCAGACATTGATAAGGGCTATGCTATAGCCCTTTATCAATGTCTGCATTAAATACCTCTGCTTTTGATTAACGCTATGTTGATACAGTAAGCGTTAATCATTCCAACGCGATCTTAAGTTGAATCATATAGGCTAAACATAAAATAATATAAAATGTCTAACGTTATATTCACTACGGAACTCGGTTGAAAGTTAAACTGAAACTCAGTATGGTAAACAACTCAAATAAGATGTGTCTTAATAATTGATCCTTGTAGATTTATTATATAGAGTGGTTTGCATTAAACTGTAAGCCCTCACATCACAAATAGAAGAAAATCATATATGGAAACATTATCTTGCGGCAGCTCGTTGATACCCAGCCACTTGTTTGCACGGATTAAGTTTCATTCATTCATTTATTTGATCGCTTGCATCGTTGTTTGTTCGGAATCTCTAATAGTAAGAATCTTCAACTTGGTTCATTCAAGTCAAGGTATTTATACAGCATCCACAATACACAGTTTCAAAGCAGCTTTACAGAAAATCATGATGTTAATGTTTATAATATCCTCCCCTTTAAAAAATAGCCAGGGTTTGCTACTCTGACCAAAGTGTTTTAGCAGTTAGCCTATTCAGTTCCACTGTAGTGGAGACTGAATAATGAATATTTGCAGCCTCTCAGACAAACCACAGAGCGATATTTTTTATTTAAAGAGATTTACATATTAGTCCGTTTTATTCTAAGAGTATGTAAGATAGTTTTGAAAAAATATTAATAGTAAGCGGTCGGCTTTTTCTGTGGTGATTTGCGTGTGTTTACACTGTGCGCTCCTGAGCGTGACCTAAAATATGGCGGAATCCAACGCGGCATTACGTAGATTCCCATTCTCTATAGAACGTTCCATTGCCAGCAGCAGCCCTACGCTTCTGCCATTCTGGAGTGAAAGCGACTCAGCACTCCACTAGCTTCTTGCTGTCGCTATGGCAAATAGCAGCTGCTTTGTTTAAAAAAACGTACATTAAAGCTGAAATACAGGCTGAACGATGACAACCATAATGTACAATTACTATACTAGTGATCATCAAATCCTTATAACATTTTATTTTACGGACTATTTTAAAGTCTTCCCTTTTTTTCACAAAACGTTTTTGCTCTCTACAAACCATATCAGTTTCGGTTGAAAATATTTTAAGTTCAAGTGTTAGCATTATAAACACTGAATTAATTCCAACATATGAAATTAAATTAATGACAGAAAAATTAGGAATGTTGGACAATAAATATATAACAGGAATATGACAGCTTGACAGTAAACTGTTTTTGCAGTATTGTCTTATATTAATGTCAGTTAAAGGAAGACTGTAAACAAAAAAGTTATTACCTCGTGAGAAATGTCATGTTGCTGCTAATTCATTTACTTTGTCTTTTTTCCCACTGTGACAACATGTACAGGTGCATCTCAATAAATTAGAATGTTGTGGAAAAGTTCATTTATTTCAGTAATTCAACTGAAATTGTGAAACTCGTGTATTAAATAAATTCAGTGCACACAGACTGAAGTAGTTTAAGTCTTTGGTTACCACCTCAGTAGTGCCACAAACTGATCACCTCCATGCTACGCCGAATTGAGGCAGTAATTAAAGCAGAAGGAGACCCTACCAAGTTATTGAGTACATGTACAGTAAATGAACATACTTTCCAGATTGCCAACAATTCACTAAAAATGTTTTTTTTATTGGTCTTATGGAGTATTCTAATTTGTTGAGATAGTGAGTTGGTGGGTTTTTGTTAAATGTGAGCCAAAATCATCACAATTAAAAGAACCAAAGATTTAAACTACTTCAGTCGGTGTGCATTAAATTTATTTAATACACGAGTTTCACAATTTGAGTTGAATTACTGAAATAAATGAACTTTTCCACGACATTCTAATTTATTGAGATGCACCTGTATAATATGGACATGCATATGTGTTTTCCCCTTTTTATTTATCTGTGTTTGTATAATATATATTTTTGCTTTGGCAACATTTCACACAGTCATGCCAATAAAGCTCATCTGAATTGCATTGAATTGAATTGAGATAGAGAGATAGCGAGAGAGAGAGAAAAAGAGAGAGAGAAAAAGAGAGAGAGCGAGAGAGAGCGCTCAGTTAGAGTTACCTCGCTAGTGAGATATGTCATGTAATTGCTACACTATTTTACTGATAAAATCTTTAGTGCGCTGACAAAATATGTCTGCGCAAGTGTGTCTGTATGGCAAGCCATTTTAACATTTAACCCTTCAAACGTACTAGTATCTATTTTCATGCTACTAGTACTTATTTTTTAACTACTAGTATGTATTCCATTAAGTACTAATACTTATTCATTAGCTAGTAGTGCTTATTCTTTAGGTTCTAGTACCTTTTAAAAAAGATTTTAGTTCTTATTTATTAGATACTTGTACTCATTCATTAGATACTAGTACCTGTTAAATTGACACTAGTACTTATTAGATACGAGTACCTATTATTAGATACTAATATTTAATCACTAGTTACTAGTACTTATTTTTAGATATTCATACCTATTAAATAATTACTAATATTTATTTAATACATGCTAGTTATTCATTAATTCATTAAAGTTTTTATTCAGTAGATACAAGTACTTATTCATTAGATACTTGTACCTATTAAATAGATATTAGTACGTATTAATTTACATATTAGTACTTATTCATTACATACCCTTAACCCTACTCGATACCTAAACATAGCTACTACAAACATCTACCTTACTAACTATCAATAAGCAGCAAATTGGGAGTTTATTGACATAAAACTCTTAATATTGAATATGTCTTCCCTAATCTAAAGTGTTGAATTGTTACTAGTAACGATTACACAAGTTACTAGAGTGTAATAAATAAGTACTAGTACCCAATTAATAACTACCAGTATCTATTAATAGGTAATAGTAATGAAAATTAATAGTATTTAATAAATAAGTACTAATATCTAATGAATACTTGCCAGTAATATTTAAAAGGATAATGATTACTATTGGAATAATTACTAGTTAGAAAGTTTTTCTAAGTCATTTTGGTACATTTCTCAGATAACAACTGAAATTCTCAAAACTACTTGTTCAACCTCCACATCAGCTAGTTGCTTGTTCACATCATAAAAGCAATTTTTCATTCTTTTG